GGGGGGTTCAGCATGTCCGAAGATGAGTCATTTTGTACCATTGCGAGAATATCATGCGAAGTTATTCAAAGGTTATTTTCTGTTTTGCATGGTACCCCTTGTCAGATATCTAGTCAGGAGAGATGAATACCAACTTTGTAGTGAGCCCAATAACTTTTATGGGGACGAAAAATCCTTCAATGGGATCCAGATTCTTCAGTGGCAAAGATGTCTTTCCTGAGGGGGTGCTAGTGAGAGGGGTGCTACCTGCCACAGATTTTACCTCAGAATTGATCCCTCCTCTCATACCATTTCCTCAGCTGCACCCAGTCGATTATGAGAGGTGGAAGAAGCAGGTTACCCCTGAAATGACTCTATACCTGAGCCGTGAGAATACTCGTCTACCTACAGTTCCAACTCAGGATGTGCCAAAAGATGATAGATACCTGTTATACTAGAATGTGTTGTGGAATGACAATGCTAACATGATTGACCTACCAATGAACTTGAAACTGTGACACGAGAAGCCAGAAGCTTCGACCAATGAAGTCGAAGCTCCTCCAACCTTGGGAGACTAACGCGGGGCTTCCCCCGCGCGGGTGCAATACTCGAGAGCGAGATTCACCCACCTCTAAACTGGTAAAATAATCCTATAAAAGGATTGTCCACCTCTAAGGAGTTGATAGTAAATTTCAACATAAGTTATCACCTGAATGATCCGAATTAAATCTAATAAAATTATGGGCTGACAAGTTGCTCGGGACACATAAAATCCAAATGTGATAGATGCAAGCAATACATCAATGAAACCAGCACAACTAGTAGCATCTTTTAGTGGTGGTGGGACAGAGTGTCACTAACCAATTCTTGAATGAAATATTATAGTTGGATAATTCGAAAAAGTGATGCTTCATCAATTTGGATTTTCATTAATAGCAAACGACAATAGATGGTTTGGACATTTTGGAGCTTATTGCAAAAAATGCTTTCTTCAATTAATGTGAATGGGATTTTTGGCAACAAAAAAACATTCATCATTATTGAATTAAACAAGCGACAATTATCAACAAAGTGCAATTAGCATATCTAAGTAGTAAAGAACTTTCTGCATGGCTAAAGTTGTAAATAAAAAGCAAAAATGAATTGATTTTGACTAAATAAATTGATGTAGGATTACTTTGCTCATTACCTAGCCTAATTTATGTGATGTTATCAGCTAACTACAGTGGCATATCCATCATCATCAAATTCAACAAGTAACATTCCTTGACACTAAGGGCAAAAAGCACATATAAATGGCAAAGAACTTTCCGTATAATTAATTTTGAATGGAAAAATTAGATATGAATTGATTTTGTGCTAAGTAGATCAATGTCGAACATTACCTACTCTAATCTGTGATTATCTATAACAAAAGGCAGAGATCAAAGTCTCCCATGATTGAAATTTGATCAGATGAGGACAGACATGCCCAAACCCAAGTAGTCAAAGCTGTCAGTAGTGATCTAGAAGCGATCACCATTGATAAAATCTCAAATTGTTATTCCAACATATCACATACTAGTCAATGATGTCACAAGTGCATTGGCAGCAAAGGCTTGAAAGTTTGACAGATAAATCAATTAGAACAAGAATAAGGAGTCTCCTCATCTCTTGAACAAATTTTTGAAAAAAACATGCAATAATATATCTTTTCTACATAGATCAACTTCTCATCATAAAGGATGTTTAAAGACAAACAACCACAAAATGATGGACCTTAGGAGGCACAACAACTAGATAAGTTAGAACCTTTTAGAAGAATCTAAGTAATAACCAACACAAATCACTGGCAAATGAGGTAATCAACATGTTTACTAGTCCAACGGCTCTCTGAGAACTAATTGTAATAGAAAATATAAGGCCTTCATCCGCCCAAGAGGCACCCACTAGCCACAAATGAGGAAGCAGTTGGCCTACCCAAACAAAGTTAAGTTAATTCTGCATATTAAGTGAATTCAAAATTACTAGGGCACTGACTCCAGCAATTTAGGTATACTGGACTTGTTACATCCGTCAAATCTTGTTTAAGGGGTTGCCGAACATTCTTAGCTTGTTTGGAAACCATTGAAACCAAATGAGCTAGAATGGAGTCTAGTTTGGCTCTTCTATTACGTCAAGTTTCATGCTTCGTGTTTAAAGTAGTGATTGATAAAATATATAATTTTATGAGCCTAAAAAGTATAAAATCAACTAAATCACATCCCATGGGATGTCTTTTAATTTATAATGCCAATAAACATGTTTTATCCTGATACTTATCAGGTATACCCCAAGGATGGACAACCTTATGGAGAGGGACTAAAGTTTATTAAGGTTTTGACTCTAGCATTTAGTTCAAAATGACGAAGAAGTAATCTGCAAAAGTGTCATTCATGAGACAGCACAAATTCAAATTTAACAAATTGCAATCAATCAATTCAAAGGCAACCATAACCATCCAATATATATAATTCACTAAAATTATCTATCAATCATAAAAATTGCTTATTTAAAGGGGAGAGAAATCCATTGAACATTTAATTAAATAAAAAAAAAACTTTTTACATTAGAAAAATTATCTTCATGGTGAGTTGATTAATAAGCTTAGATACCTCCCGTTACATGGCATCGAGCTAGATGATTCACCAAGGGATACTTCAGAGACAGGTAGAGAATCTATTAATCCACCATCATGTGTATTATCTTTAGCAGGTAAGTTCATTTTGGAACCACCATTTAGATTACAAAATGTTTTATTTTTCCTGGAATGTATATCTCGAACACCTATGCCGGTAGTTTGCTTCTCAGTACAGTTTAATTTCTGTCTCTTTTTCCTGAAATAAGAATGGCATGTTAACAACCTGATAGTAATAGTGAATAAATTTAAAATAAAAAAAAAAAAAAAAAAAATGACATTTACCCTATTCTTAGGGATAATCAAGACATCAATATTCACTGAGCATCAGGATATTCAGAGCCACTAAGTTGTACATTAGTGATTGCTCAGCAAAAGCCACCCCACTTGTGAGCTTTCTTGATGTGATAAAAAAAATCAGGAATGGCCTTTGTTAAGGGAGGTTGTGTTTAATTAATTAGATTTATCTAGACGAACCAAATTTTATTTAGATTTGAAGACAAAATTTCTCAATGGCAAGCCGACATAGCTAATCACCCCATAGATTTTTGGCTAAAAATTTAAATTTAAAATACTATAGCCAATTTGAAGAGAAACAAAGTGAGATATCCAATATAAACTAACTTAAAAAATTTAACTTAAAACTTCAAAAATTTAACTTAACAAAAGAACTAGAGCACCAGGCATGAGCATAACATTGCTCTGGTGCTTGGAGGGCATAATGGAGGGCATAAGTGGAAGAGGAGAGGTACGTGATGGAGATGGTGCTAATGGGAATGGAAAGAAAGAGCTCCTGTATGCTGAGGGAAAGCAGAAAATGACCAGAAAAATCCCTCGATTATTTGTG